AAGAAAGTCATTGCTGTCAGGAATATGAGCTTAAAATATACTTGATAAATAATTTGAAAAAAAAAGCATTAAACGCTTTCCCGAGCCCCATGGGTAGGCTCTTCATTTCCCTTTCATTGCCTCAAATTCAATCTGGCTATGGAAGCTAAACCTTATCGTGGAGAAGCTCTTTCCGACTTTCGTTCGGTATGCATTTCATAAAGACTCTTCCAGGTGTCTAGGCATAGCGACGAGAGAAAAGATGGATGAAACTGCCCGTCTCGCTACTTATCCACTGGTCACTGTGGGAGGGAAGGATCGGTGGGGAAGAGGGATCGGCGGGGAAGGGGGATCGGTTGAGAAGGGGACAGGGGGATGGGATTCGACATGTGGGGATAAAACCTTATCTTATCATCTCCTCATCCCAATGTAAAATATCCGCGGGAAAATATGACTGATTGTGGTCGGGTCTATATGGGATTTAATGCTGTTTGTCGGTACGAGATGTTGGAGTAATAACACGAAAAACCTCGTTCTAGAGATTGAGTGGGGGATCTGAAAGATACGCTGGTAAATGTCGTGAAGTATAATTCGAAATTTAATCATTCCGGATTGTTGAAGGGATATGAAAAAAAAATGGCCTCCTTGATTTTTGGCTTGACGAGGAATCCAAGCAAAAACACAATATATGCAAAGGGGGCAATACGATGTGGATAGGTCTATGCGAGAGGGAGAGGTTATACGGTTGATACGAACTCTCGATCCTGGAGAAGCATACGATCCTGGGTGATCTTGATGGGCTTCGTGCCGAGGACGCCGTCTTGAACCGGTCGATGATGGACGTGGGCCTTGTGCACCTCGGCCTTTCGGTTGCCAGCATTGACATCGAAGCTCGACTTGGCCTTCTCGACCTTGCGGTTGGTGGCCTGAGGGGGTGTCCCTGGGACGACTCCGGGCTTGGCTCCGGGAGTGGCCCCAGGCGAGGCTTGGGGAATGGCTCCGAAGTTGCCCGTCCCGACTTGGGCTGCGGCGCCCGTCAGCAAGATGGAGGGGAGGAGGAGGTAGGGGATCACGAGCATTTTGCAACAGTAGTGGCTAGGCACTGGGTGGGACGGGAGTGTGGAGGGCAGCTGCTGCTTCTCGCGTGGGAAAGTTCGCCGGTGGACGGGATTGGAGCCAGCTGGATGAGCCTAAATGAAGGACGGCCAACATAATTTTGCATTGGGAAAATGTGGATCGCTAACAACGGAAATGACATGTATTTCCACTTTTTTTTTTCTTATTTTGGTTCTTTTGGTTAGATTACCTTCGAAGCAGGATTTTCTTCTGCCGCATCAAAGAGAAGCACCTACCCGTGACGGAGAAATGCAGTCAGGCCTCCTTCGGGGAAATAGTGACACGGACCACGGCCCCCTTCATCGATTGCGAGCCCTGCGACTCTTTACGATTACGAGGATGACTACAAGGACGACTACAAGATCTCGGACTGCCGAGATTTTGTAGCCTTTTGTTTTCCCGCGGTCGCATCCAAGATGACCGAAAGCTGGAGCGATTATTTCGCCTTTTCGAAATGAAATCCTTCTCCCACGTGAGCTGGACTTTTCAGACCTTTTACTGTCAGAACGTTTCTTCGTTTATAGACTAGGAATTTAGCAACTTTTCCTCGCGTCGTCTTCCAAGGGAGAACTCGAAGTAGCTGAGGAAACCGTCCCTGTTCAGGTCGTCCTCGGCGAGGACTTGGTCGATCAAATCTGAAAGAGACGACGAAAACGTCAATTTCAGATTGGCTTAGACATGCCGATTTTCCTGGCGGTTTCGGACTGACGCGTGTATAGAGCGATGTCCCTTCGGAGCTGTCGCTTGAGTTCCTGCTCCCGTTGCAGCTTGGCAGTCTTGTCCTCTTCGTCGTCCTTGTCGTCCTTTTCGTCCTTGCCATCGTGGTCGTCGTGGTCGTCGTGGTCGTCGGGGGAGGTGTGCACGTGCATGAGGGCGGAGAGGAGCTCCAGTCCGTCCAGCATCCCGTTTTCGTCGAAGTCGTGGATCCTGCAATGAGGAATCGACAGGCTCACATCCCTTGCGAAAATTCCTTTTGGGGCAATACAAATGAGAGTATCTGACTTGAAATAGTGGAACTCGAGCTCTCTC